TCGGGGTAATGACTGGAGAGGAATCAGTGGAATGGTATCAAATACATCGAACACATGGTTTCCATGTGTTTGACGCCATTCCGTTCGCGCCGTTCCATACATCATTATGAGCCGTCCTCCCCTCAGCAGCCTCCACTGGTGTACGCCTGTTAGCAGACAGACAGTGGAGCAGTGAGAAATGTTCCACTTAGTAGAGAAGTGTGCTTTCTGACAGGAAGTCAACAGGAAAGTAATGTGTGCTGTCACACAGGAAGTGTGTGTGTCTGTGTGTTAGAGAGGGCGGTAGGGTGGCTAGGTTGAGTGAGCGAGCGACTCTCGTCTGATTGGGCCGTGCTAGCGAGCCTTAGACCAGAGAGACCGAGCATGTCCAGAAAGGCTCAGATGAGAAGACATCGAGGCGAAAGAAGGAAGCATCACTACGCTAGTCTATTAGCACAGGTTAATTAAGAAACAAGTTTCATATTGCATGTCCTAGTACTAGAGTAAATTGCTTAGTGTATATAAAACTGGAAGAAGAAGAAGAAGAAAGCTATATTGTGGGATTATAATTACATTTCACTTTGTAATTCTAAAATAATTTATACCAACAATAAGTATATAATATTTACATACGCGTACATCATAAATAGTATCAGCACATGTAATATATATTTCTAGAAACATATACCATACACATATATGCATATATTCCATGGTATAGCCACACATACACACACAGTGAATATACAATTGAAATGACATTGCAATGCTGTGTTTGGGTAAGACTCAATTGAACATTCACGTCATCATCTCAAGTAAGCTTGAAGCCAAAAAGTTCAGGTGTAGTATTGCTATATAAGAAAGAGACCAAAAGACCAAGGTCCTCAGCCTTTAGTTTTGATGCAGCTGAGAGTCAAAAAAGTCAAATCAAGTATTGCTTTTTTAGGTTTGTTTCCTTTGATTTGGGTTGTGAGGAGACAGAACAGAGTGAGAGGAGTTCGGTTTGACCACTCGCTGGCTCTGTACCGTACGGTGGGAGACGGACAGACAGCCTGCTGGGTCAAAGGTCAAGCTCCTTAGCGGGACTGTAGGTACGACAGTTTAGAAGCCACACAACCTGATGGTTCTAGAAGTCAGAGAAGAGATCTTGAGGACCCAAGTGAATAATAAATGGTGCGATGGTCCGAGGCTGGTAAAAAGGATTGTCAATGAAAAGACCACCTACAGTGAGGAGAAGAGCAGAGAGAGATAGTGTAATTACCGTGGGGCCCTGTAAGAGGCAGCATGACTTACTCTCTCCATAGGTTGTTATCTCTGCTCTGTCTGGCTGTACTGTACGTGGGGTTTTCATTGCACTGGGGCGGATCAGGTTAATAAAGACATCAACAACTTAAGTTGCAATGGTTACCACTTTCCGACAAAATCAATCCAACCAAAATTAAAAAGGATAAGGAAACTATTGAAAATAAAAACGTTGAAGCTCATTCATTTCAGATAAGAAAGCAGAGATATGTGATAAGACATGTAGCAACTTTTTTTAAGACAATGTGGTTAGTACATAACTCTGACAAATCAAATGTTGTGATTTTGGAGAGAGTATAGTACATTGCCATCACGAAGAGAGAGGGGGAGCCCATGGGATCAGAAGGGAGGGGGAGGGTTTGGGGTAAGGCACATTATGGGCTTCCCCTAGCTGTCACCGAGGCAGGTCTCCCCTGCTCAACCAACCATTGGACAGGACACTGGGACCTCTGGCCTATGGCTGCGCCTCATAGCGGTAACCATGGAGACGGCTGTCCTAAGAGTACGGTATCCCAGAGGGCTTTTCTCTCGATGGCGATGTTGACCACAACCTCCCAGCCACGGGCCAGCACAGACACACAACCTCCACTGATTGACCCAGATATCTCCATATAAGATATATTTAGGAGTAAATATAATATAACTTTCATGGTTTAACAAAAAAATATAGATGCAGGAAATTATAACATGGTCACTGAATTCCAATTTCGACCTCACTGTTCGCATTGAACAGTATGTGGCTTGTTGTGCAGTGAACTATCGGGCTAAATAGAGCAGGAAGGTAAGGTAATCATACCATGACAGCATTGTGACAGAGGTAGCTTGTGCTTTGTGCTGGCCACATGGGAGAGGACTGAATGGACTGCTGAGTCACAATGACACACTCACCAAACAATAATAACATAAAAACATTCAAGCACAGAAATGAACCAGGACAATTAGGTAGAAAATCTCCATGGGTTGGATAGGGTCCCTTGTTGCTGCTTTCGATTCTCCAGTGTGTAGCTGTGTTTCTGTGTTTCCATATTTTCATGTGGGATGTGCTGTAGGTGTATTCGATAGGACTCAGGGGAACCAGCCAACTAAGCAGCCATATCAGATTGCTGTGCGAACTGCGGATGGAGGTCACGGGTTGGGGTCGGGAACCCAATGTGCAATGAGTGAGTGAGGGTTGTGAGGGGTCAGACTCAGGGTACATGTGCATGTATGCAGGACAAGACAAGTGATACCATCAGGACATCGCTGCAACCATGACCAGGGTCGAGGTCAATTCGATTTCAATTCAGCAAGTATAGGACTTAAACTGAAATTAAATCAAAATTCTCCCTGAATTGACTGAATTGAAATGGAATGAAGTGACAGCAGTGGGTTTGAGCTTCTATTTATTAGAAGATCTAATATGAGTGCTATTAACTGCTGTTGCTACTGTACCACTAGCTCTGCAAGCTGGTCTATTACTGTATAACCTCTGGTAAACCACCACCACCATGTTCCCCTACACTACACTCTTACTTCCTATTCATAACAACAGCATTTCTAATTTCCTGTTCACACCAGGAAATAGCTTCAAATAGCTTCTCTAGCTGCTATGTAAGCAAACAGAGGGTGCTACAGTGCAGTAGGGTCATTAGACTATACTGTACTGTTACTGTACCTCGTTTCAGTTATGACACCAGGCAGTGCTCAGCTTGTTGTAGGAGATAAAGGTTTTATTTGTCCACATTAGTTTCATTATTATTCCTATACATCCTTCACACAGCTCAGGTTTACAGAGAATGTGTCGTCTCGCTCTGGATAAGAGCGTATGCTAAATGACTAAAATGTAAATGTCTATGTCAACTTGCAAGGCCTAAATCCTTCCTACAGCAGAACAAGAACAACAAATAACAAAAAAGGCTGATATACAGTGCATTGGGAAAGTATTCAGACCCCTTCCCTTTTTCCACATTTTGTTACGTTACAGCCTTATTCTAAAATGGATTTAATTATTGTTTTCCCTCATCAATCTACACACAATAACCCCATAATGACAAAGCAAAAACAGGTTTTTAGAAATGTTTACAACAAAAAAAACTACAAAAACCTGAAATATCACATTGACATAAGTGTTCAGAGCCTTTACTCAGTACTTTGTTGAAGCACCTTTGGCAGCGATTACAGCCTCGAGTCTTCTTGGGTATGACGCTACAAGCTTGGTACACCTGTATTTGGGGAGTTTCTCCCATTCTTCTCTGCAGATCCTCTCAAGCTCTGTTACAGCTATTTTCAGGTCTCTCCAGAGATGTTAGATCGGGTTCAAGTCCGGGCTCTGGCTGGGCCACTCAAGGACATTCAGAGACTTGTCGCGAAGCCACTCCTGCGTTATCTTGGCTATGTGCTTAGGGTCGTTGTCCTGTTCGAAGATGAACCTTCGCCCCAGTCTGAGGTTCTGAGCACTCTGGAGCAGGTTTTCATCAAGGATCTCTCTGTACTTTGCTCCGTTCATCTTTCCCTCAATCCTGACTAGTCTCCCAGTCCATGCTGCTGAAAAACATCCCCACAGCATGATGCTGCCACCACCATGCTTCACCGTAAGGATGGTGCCAGGTTTCCTCCAGACGTGACGCTTGGCATTCAGGCCAAAGAGTTCAATCTTGGTTTCATCAGACCAGAGAATCTTGTTTCTCATGGTCTGAGAGTCCTTTAGGTGTCTTTTGGTAAACTCCAAGTGGGCTGTCATGTGCCTTTTACTGAGGAGTGGCTTCCGTCTGACCACTCTACCATAAAGGCCTGATTGGTGGAGTGCTGCAGAGATGGTTGTCTCCACAGAGGAACTCTAGAGCTCTGTCAGAGTAATAACTTGTTTCAAAAATTCTAAAAAATAAATAACGGAAAAGTGGTGCGTGCATATGTATTCAGCCCCTTTGCTATGAAGCTCCTAAATAAGATCTGGTGCAACCAATTACCTTCAGAAGTCACATAATTAGTTAAATAAAGTCCACCTGTGTGCAATCTAAGTGTCACATGATCTCAGTATATATACATCTGTTCTGAAAGGCCCCAGAGTCTGCAACACCACTAAGCAAGGGGCACCACCAAGCAAGCGGCACCATGAAATTGCTGCAAAAGGTGGCTCTACAAAGTATTGACTTTGGGGAGGGTGAATAGTTATGCACGCTCAAGTTTTCAGTTTTCTTGTCTTATTTCTTGTTTGTTTCACAATAAAAAATATGTTGCATCTTCACAATCCTGTCTCGGAGCTCTACGGAGAATTCCTTCGACCTCATGGCTTGGTTTTTGCTCTGACATGCACTGTCAACTGTGGGACCTTATATAGACATGTGTGTGCCTTTCCAAATCATGTCCAATCAATTGAATCAACCATAGGTGTACTCCAATCAAGTTGTAGAAGCATCTCAAGGATGATGAATGGAAACACGATGCACCTGAGCTCAATTTCGAGTCTCATAGCAAAGGGTCTGAATACTAAATACTGAATACTAAATAAGGTATTTCTGTTTTATTTTTGTAATAAATTTGCAAAACAAATTACAAACCTGTTTTAGCTTTGTCGTTATGGGGTATTGTGTTTAGATTGATGAGGGGAAAAAATAATTTTATCAATTTTAATACATTTTAAAATAAGGCTGTAACGTAACAAAGTGTGGAAAAAGTCAAGGGGTCTGAATACTTTCCAAATGCAATGTACTGTAATTTAGACTCAAAATAATGATGTAACAATTCACAGTACAAATCCTTCAAGTTTTCCATTTTTGTAAGAACTTAAACCTGCAGGTTTTTTTAACTGTAAAAGCTGGAAACAGTAAAAAAAAAAATATTAACTTCTTTTACAAATCATGCTGAAGTCCTTTAGTTCAGTTCCCCCCTTGATATGTTGGAAAAACAAAAAGACTCAGATTCCCTTCTAAAAAAACAAGGTGGGGTGTCCCTGTGCTAAAAGAAGGAGTAGTGGGGGACGGGGTAGGCAGGCATTTTCATGACAGGCAACAGAAGCATTCTCTTGGGGGAGAAACCTAGAGAGGAGACACGAAAAGAGCACTCCATATGAGTCCACGGCAGGGCAAAACAAACGCTTCTGTCCTGTGTCATGATCTTCTACTGTGCCTAGAGTCTAGGCCACAGAACTACAATGAATAGAATTTCAGGTTAGCCATTTTGAGTGCACCAATGAGTTTACGAGTCAAAATGCTATTGTGAGAGCAGAGGGTTTGTTCCATTCATTCTACTTCTATAGAATGTGCAGAGCAACAGTAGAACCCAGAGAGAGGGACGATGTGTAAAGACGAAGTGAGTGAGTGAGTGAGTGAGTGAGTGAGTGAGTGAGTGAGTGAGTGAGTGAGTGAGTGAGTGAGTGAGTGAGTGAGTGAGTGAGTGAGTGAGTGAGTGAGTGAGTGAAGGAAGGAAGACCAAAGTCAATGGTGGGGTACAATGCAGGGCTATGGTTGGTTGGCTGGTTTGTTTGTCTAATTGTTTACAGGTATTGTATAATGGAGTGGATATTATTGTGGTCTGGGCTGTGGTTTGTGGCTGCGATCATAGACAGACAGAGGTCAAAGTTGTGTGTTCTTGAGTGTGTGTTGTTTCATGTGTGTTTCTCTCAGTCTTGAACCCATAAAGAAATCCCAAAGCAGCAACAGGAGGCTGAGCGCCACACAGCAGTGAGCGTCAGATAGAAAGATAGATAAAGAGATAGATGACTGTAGTGGGGAGGATGAACCAGCATGCCACATCATCTCAGAAGCATTGGGGGAGGGGGCTGGACAGAGACATGTTATCTGATCTCACAGCAGCCAAATACCATGATAGTGCCACATGACATGACTGAGTGGTGGGCACTAAATGAACAGGCAGAGACCAGGCAGGGCCACTGAGATTAGCTAAACTACAACACTACTAGCCTGGGACCAGATCTGATCGTGTTGTCTTGCCAACTCCTATTGTGACAAAGACCATAGGAGTTGGCAAGACAGCACAAACATATCTGGGACCAGGCTACAGCACTCAACTCCAGGGGCCTTATTCAAAAAGCATCTCAAGAGTAGGAGTGCTGATCTAGGATCAGGTGCCACCTGTCCATATAGTCTTACTCAAAGGAAAAACTGATCCTATATCCTACTCTGACACTCTTTGTGAATACAGGTCCCAGAGCTAGGCTCTCTGGGGTCTACTACTAGAACATGTTGTGCCTATCCAGCCCTGTACCCAGCAGTCTCCCCCTGCACATAAGACTCATTCAAAGCCCCCAGAACCAGAAACAGGCAACTCTCTCTGTGACAGAGAAAATGGGCCTCCCAATGCCACACAACACAACACACAAGGACCAGTCTGTTCTAAGTTTAGGGTGTGTGTGACAAAGAGATGGAGAGATAGAGAGAGGCAGAGAGAGGCTGAGTGTGTATATATTTGCAAACAAGATCATACGTTTTTTGAGTGTGTATGCATGCTTGAATTTGTGAGTGTATAAATCTGTAAGACAAAGTGGGTGTGAGTGATTGAGCATCGTGAGTGTTGCTGACCTCAAACCGCTCAGTGCTGTATTGAGTTATGCTGATTGTGCGAGAGCAGAGCAGCCTGAATCTGATCTAGTTCTGTAGACTATGGTAGACATTCAAACCTTCCAGAGCTCTGGCTGTCTGGCAGAGACTGTGTATATACAGTGGGGGAAAAAAGTATTTAGTCAGCCACCAATTGTGCAAGTTCTCCCACTTAAAAAGATGAGAGAGGCCTGTAATTTTCATCATAGGTACACGTCAACTATGACAGACAAAATGAGATTTTTTTTCTCCAGAAAATCACATTGTAGGATTTTTAATGAATTTATTTGCAAATTATGGTGGGAAATAAGTATTTGGTCAATAACAAAAGTTTCTCAATACTTTGTTATATACCCTTTGTTGGCAATGACACAGGTCAAACGTTTTCTGTAAGTCTTCACAAGGTTTTCACACACTGTTGCTGGTATTTTGGCCCATTCCTCCATGCAGATCTCCTCTAGAGCAGTGATGTTTTGGGGCTGTCGCTGGGCAACACAGACTTTCAACTCCCTCCAAATATTTTCTATGGGGTTGAGATCTGGAGACTGGCTAGGCCACTCCAGGACCTTGAAATGCTTCTTACGAAGCCACTCCTTCGTTGCCCGGGCGGTGTGTTTGGGATCATTGTCATGCTGAAAGACCCAGCCACGTTTCATCTTCAATGCCCTTGCTGATGGAAGGAGGTTTTCACTCGAAATCTCACGATACATGGCCCCATTCATTCTTTCCTTTACACGGATCAGTCATCCTGGTCCCTTTGCAGAAAAACAGCCCCAAAGCATGATGTTTCCACCCCCATGCTTCACAGTAGGTATGATGTTCTTTGGATGCAACTCAGCATTCTTTGTCCTCCAAACACGACGAGTTGAGTTTTTACCAAAAAGTTATATTTTGGTTTCATCTGACCATATGACATTCTCCCAATCCTCTTCTGGATCATCCAAATGCACTCTAGCAAACTTCAGACGGGCCTGGACATGTACTGGCTTAAGCAGGGGGACACGTCTGGCACTGCAGGATTTGAGTCCCTGGCGGCGTAGTGTGTTACTGATGGTAGGCTTTGATACTTTGGTCCCAGCTCTCTGCAGGTCATTCACTAGGTCCCCCCGTGTGGTTCTGGGATTTTTGCTCACCGTTCTTGTGATCATTTTGACCCCACGGGGTGAGATCTTGCGTGGAGCCCCAGATCGAGGGAGATTATCAGTGGTCTTGTATGTCTTCCATTTCCTAATAATTGCTCCCACAGTTGATTTCTTCAAACCAAGCTGCTTACCTATTGCAGATTCAGTCTTCCCAGCCTGGTGCAGGTCTACAATTTTGTTTCTGGTGTCCTTTGACAGCTCTTTGGTCTTGGCCATAGTGGAGTTTGGAGTGTGACTGTTTGAGGTTGTGGACAGGTGTCTTTTATACTGATAACAAGTTCAAACAGGTGCCATTAATACAGGTAACGAGTAGAGGACAGATGAGCCTCTTAAAGAAGAAGTTACAGGTCTGTGAGAGCCAGAAATCTTGCTTGTTTGTAGGTGACCAAATACTTAATTTGCAAATAAATTCATTAAAAATCCTACAATGTGATTTTCTGGATTTTTTTCACTCAATTTGTCTGTCATAGTTGACGTGTACCTATGATGAAAATTACAGGCCTCTCTCATCTTTTTAAGTGGGAGAACTTGCACAATTGGTGGCTGACTAAATACTTTTTTCCCCCACTGTATTTGCAAACAAGATCATACGTTCTTTGAGTGTGTATGCATGCTTGAATTTGTGAGTGTATAAATCTGTAAGACAAAGTGGGTGTGAGTGATTGAGCATCGTGAGTGTTGCTGACCTCAAACCGCTCAGTGCTGTATTGAGTTATGCTGATTGTGCGAGAGCAGAGCAGCCTGAATCTGATCTAGTTCTGTAGACTATGGTAGACATTCAAACCTTCCAGAGCTCTTAGACATGCTACTGGCTGTCTGGCAGAGACTGAGAAGGCCACAGATGACCGACCAGCCAGTCTAGCCAGAGGCACAGTGGGGAAGCTACACTATGTGTTCAGTGAATGAAACAGTCACACTGTGAATGTATAGCTACATGTTTATAAAGATATAGTAGGGGTCTGAAATAGTTTGGGCTGGATGGTGGTGTGTGTGTGTGTGTGTGTGTGTGTGTGTGTGTGTGTGTGTGTGTGTGTGTGTGTGTGTGTGTGTGTGTGCGTGCGTGGGCGCAAATGTGTGTGTTTCCTAGTTTTTTTTGGAAGAAGTTAGTCTATAGAAGAAGTGTGTATAACCCATATAGCCTGTCCCTGTGTGTGTGTTGGTGGCATTGGTCCCTGCCTGCCTGGCCTGCTTTGAATGGGGTATCTGTTAGCTTAGCTGTGGACAGAGATATAGCATGGCTACACTAAGGAGAGGAGAGAGATGTCCAGAGAGTCAGGATGAGGGAGCAGGCAGACTGACGGAGGGGCAGGCAGAACAAGCAGCAGTCTGGACACTCAGGCGGGTTAAGAAGTGCAGCAAGGCTTGCTCCAACCACAGTAAGAACCAAAAGGTTATGATCAGTTCCACTTTTACTTTCTTTAGCTTTTAGATTTAGATTGACCCAATTTCCTACATTTCAATTTCGACCTCTACGTGTAACTCAGATTCAATGGCACTGTATCGTTTTCCAGTAGGGCCTCTCCAACAGTAGGGAGGAATAGTGAGGTAGGGCAGGTGTTAACTCTTTAACCTCTGCGAGAGAGAGGGATGACTTACCGTAGGCTGGGGCGGCTGCAGCACTGTATCCATATGGAGTCCCGAAGCCTGTCAGACATGTTAAAGCCATGTGGGCTGTTAGGATCGTTGGGTAACTGGTAATATAAACGCATGCATCCACTCAACATATAAACAACTCGAGTTTTGGCAGGGAAACGGACAGGACAGGCACACATAACACACCCACACTTTTACATACTTACATGTACCTGGTATCTGTGTGTATCCTTGTGCGGCAGCGCTGACGAAGGCTCCTCTGGTTAGGGCTGCAGCTCTACCTCTCCCTCTGGCAACCTGGGCTGCTACTGCTGAGGCTGCCGCTGCTGCTGCTAGGGCTCCTTTCGTCTACATAGACACAGAGGCAGTACAGTACTGATGACTGATCAGACTATCCTGTAAACAGGCGGTACTGATAGTTGATGAGACTCTGTATCAGGTTGTGAAGGTAAGAGAGGAAGTCTTTGATAACTGATCAGACTTTCTTCTAAAGAGAAATGATTGATCAGCTTCTCCGATAAACAAGCAGTATTGATAACAGCCAGTATTGATAACTGATCAGTCTTGTTCCTCTAGAGGATTGATATTGCTAACTGACCACTCAGACTCTTCTAAACAGAAAGTATTGATAGCAGATCAGAGAGACAGTATTGGTAACATACGGCATGTTGTGGGATGATCTTCTTCTTCTTGATGTTGGCAGCAGCGTTGGGACCAGAGAAGAGTTTCTCTAGAGCAGCCAACGCAGCCGAAGCTTTCGCTACCTTCTTATTAGGCCCCGCCCCACGGAACTTCTGACCATCCACCTCCACCTGGAGAGAGAGAGGGAGAGACACACACAGACACACACACTGATGGAGTGATGTAGTGTGTCTGATGAGCTTGCCAGTCAGAGTGCACCAACCTTGGTCCATTGAGTTGCATCGAAGTCCATTGAGAGTCAGTCTGTGTGTGTGTGTGTGTGTGTGTGTCTAATCTACTGTTCCAATGGAGATATGCATGGTGTAGGCCTCACCTCCATGACGAAGCGTTTGTCGTGGCTGCCCCCGCTCTCTGATATCAGCTCATACTTCAGACCCCTGCGCTTCTCATTCAGCTCCATGACGGGGTTCTTACCACTGGCCGTCAGAATAGGACCCTGAGTTCGGACCTGAAAAAACAGGAGCAGAACAGAAATCAGATTACAGATAGATCACTAATTAAATTCTACTTCCTTTAATTTAAATTCAGTTCAAATTCTGCTTCCTGTGGGGTGTGGACAATTCAAATTAAATGTCAATTCAAGAATTGAATTGGAATAAAATACTAATTCGCAACTCAATTCAGAATTGACCCCAACCATCCCTGGTTTGTTTGTGTGTTCATGCGTGTGTGTGTGTGTGTACTGTACCTCCAGTGTATTTGAGCTGTCTGAGTGTGCTGTGTTATTGCTTGAGTGTGTAGATGATTCGCTCTTCCCCTCTCCGTCAGACTTCTCATCTGCACTGCAGTCCAGGTCCACATCAAACCCTGTGGGGTAACCCATCGCCTGCAGAACCTAGAGGGAGGGGAGGAGAGAGGCACAAATCCAACATCAAACAATTTCTGATTTCTTCCTCCATCCCAATGCATGTTCACAAGTAGTGTCTGTCAGCAACACTTCCTAACAGCACTACTGTGGGTTCTGGACCGGTTCTGAGTGACTGAGTTTGAACTCCAACACACTCCTCCTGTTTCCTGTATTATAATGAACCTGGTTCCCTCAAGGCTAATTCACCGGCAGCACACAGCACCTTTGGGGCTCTGTAGTCAGTGGACCGGTACCTTTCTCTGTGTGGACAGAACAGGAGCTCTCTTTGTGTCTGACCCAAATTGGTGCTAGTGCTTGCACACACACACACAAACGCACACAGACGCACACGCAAGTACACACACATGCACGCGCATCGCCAGGGCACCAAAGCAGAGCAGAGCAGCAGAGTAGCATCGGGGCCTTTTATGGCAATCTGAGGAGGATAGAGGATTATCTATCTCTATGCTTGGGAAAGCCTCTTTGTTCACAACGACTTTGGGATTACCCAGATTTGGCCGCTCCACAGCAGCCAGGAGAGGGGGCGAGAAGGGGGGGGGGGCATCCCTGTCTGACCGCAGCTTGAGCCCTCACTCGTCTCACTCACAAGCACTCTCTCCTCTCTTCACTACTCTACTCATCACACAACACAACAGCTGTGTCTGAATCACTCACTCCTCTCACACAACATAACAGCTCCCTGTCTGGACTATTCTAACTGACTAATATATTATCTTAGACAATAATATTATCTCTCTGTCTAGACGTTGACCCTGTTAACAAACACCCCCGTGCTGTTGTTACTGTAACACTACTAGCACCATTTCCACATTTTACAGAGTAGCCTGCAACACTCTCACACCCTTTACAGTACGTTGTAGAACTCTCCCCAGGGGTACTTGCCCTTTACTAACACCAAACTACTATTTTCACCTCTTCCCAACATTTATCCACCCCTTCTCTCATTGACCAGGACAATAGGGTTCAAACTCTGTTACCTTGACAGCAACATGCAGCTTGGCGGTCTTCTTGGAGGAGCCTGAGGCTTCGTAGACAGTGCTGTCTAGGTCTACAGACATGGTGAAGACCGGAGCGTGAACTGGGCCAGACTGGGACAGCAGCTTGTACTGCAGACCTGGACGTATCTGATTCAGACGCATTAGAGCATTCATTGGTTGGTTGCTGTCTATTGCTTTGCTGTCGAGGACTAGGGAGGAAAGAGAGAGATACCAGAGAGAGGGTTAACAAAATAACAGTGGTTGTTGTTCAGTCAATCAAATGTATTGATAAATACATGCATGGTGTTATAGGAAATACTTTTTGACAAAATATCTGAGGAGTTGCGTTTGATTGTGTGTTTAAGTACTACAAAGGGGACCCTTGCTTCAAAAAGGACATCCTTTCTAACTGATTCTAACACCGGAGGCTAAGTAGCACTCCGACTATTTCCTCAAAATAACAAAAAGTGTTCTGAGGAGTTACGCTAGCTGGCTGTAGTATCCTCAGGCAACAGCTTCACGTTCAGACTGTGTGCAATATTCTATTCCCGGATTCATCCTTAAAAAACCTCATTGCTAAATCTGCTTCTTTCTAACCAATTACTTTTCCTCTAACGGGGAGGACAGGAAAGGGGACAGCTGGATGTCTTTGAGAAACATTAGAAATCAATAACATTGATTTCCCAGTGGGTTGTGTTGTGTGTACAGTGGGGAGAATAAGTATTTGATACACTGCCGATTTTGCAGGTTTTCCTACTTACAAAGCATGTAGAGGTCTGTAATTGTTATCATAGGTACACTTCAACTGTGAGAGACGGAATCTAAAACAAAAATCCAGAAAATCACATTGTATGATTTTTAAGTAATTAATTTGTATTTTATTGCATGACATAAGTATTTGATACATCAGAAAAGCAGAACTTAATATTTGGTACAGAAACCTTTGTTTGCAATTACAGAGATCATACGTTTCCTGTAGGTCTTGACCAGGTTTGCACACACTGCAGCAGGGATTTTGGCCCACTCCTCCATACAGACCTTCTCCAGATCCTTCAGGTTTCGGGGCTGTCGCTGGGCAATACAGACTTTCAGCTCCCTCCAAAGATTTTCTATTGGGTTCAGGTCTGGTGACTGGCTAGGCCACTCCAGGACCTTGATATGCTTCTTACGGAGCCACTCCTTAGTTGCCCTGGCTGTGTGTTTCGGGTCGTTGTCATGCTGGAAGACCCAGCCACGACCCATCTTCAATGCTCTTACTGAGGGAAGGAGGTTGTTGGCGTTGATCTCGCGATACATGGCCCCATCCATCCTCCCCTCAATACGGTGCAGTCGTCCTGTCCCCTTTACAGAAAAGCATCTCCAAAGAATGATGTTTCCACCTCCATGCTTCACGGTTGGGATGGTGGTTCTTGGGGTTGTACTCATCTTTCTTCTTCCTCCAAACACGGCGAGTGGAGTTTAGACCAAAAAGCTATATTTTTGTCTCATCAGACCACATGACCTTCTCCCATTCCTCCTCTGGATCATCCAAATGGTCATTGGCAAACTTCAGACGGGCCTGGACATGCACTGGCTTGAGCAGTGGGACCTTGCGTGCGCTGCTGGATTTTAATCCATGACGGCGTAGTGTGTTACTAATGGTTTTCTTTGAGACTGTGGTCCCAGCTCTCTTCAGGTCATTGACCAGGTCCTGCCGTGTAGTTCTGGGCTGATCCCTCACCTTCCTCATGATCATTGATGCCCCACGAGGTGAGATCTTGCATGGAGCCCCAGACCGAGGGTGATTGACCGTCATCTTGAACTTCTTCCATTTTCTAATAATTGCGCCAACAGTTGTTGCCTTCTCACCAAGCTGCTTGCCTATTGTCTTGTAGCCCATCCCAGCCTTGTGCAGGTCTACAATTTTATCCCTGATGTCCTTACACAGCTCTCTGGTCTTGGCCATTGTGGAGAGGTTGGAGTCTGTTTGATTGAGTGTGTGGACAGGTGTCTTTTATACAGGCAACAAGTTCAAACAGGTGCAGTTAATACAGGTAATGAGTGGAGAACAGGAGGGCTTCTTAAAGAAAAACTAACAGGTCTGTGAGAGCCGGAATTCTTACTGGTTGGTAGGTGATCAAATACTTATGTCATGCAATAAAATGCAAATTCATTACTTAAAAATCATACAATGTGATTTTCTGGATTTTTGTTTTAGATTCCGTCTCTCACAGTTGAAGTGTACCTATGATAAAAATGACAGACCTCTACATGCTTTGTAAGTAGGAAAACCTGCAAAATTGGCAGTGTATCAAATACTTGTTTTCCCCACTGTATCTGCCTTGAGAGAGGAAGGAGGAGAGAACTAGAGATAGAGATGGGGAAACGATAGCATGTCAATCCCAGACCTGTTCGTGCTCTATAGCCAACTCCTATGGAAAGGTTTGGTAATGACAATGACCATGGGAGTTGGCTTTACAGGACAAACATATCCTGGACCAGGCTAAGAAAGGAGGGTTAGATGTAGGTTTCATGTATTTTATAGAGAGAGAGAAAACACCTCCAGTCCAGTCATATGGTGTTGGTTTAGAACAGAAGGAAATGAGTTCCTCTTTCTCTCCAGGACTCAAACATTTCCTCAATCTATAGGAGAATGTGACTGGACTTCTAGAAAGTTTAGACAACTGCTATCATCAGGACCATGAAGCCTTTGGAGTCTTGACTTATAAAGGGCCAGAGGTTTCTGCTGACCAGTAAAAACTAAAAACCATAGCTATGTTACAAGTAACAAACTAGAGAAACTACTGGCCCTAATTGTCCGAGACACATTTCCGTGGACAATTAAGTTTATTACTTACTACTTTTTATCTTTATCTTATCACATATTATCACATGACCCAGGGAGGGAACTTCTCCCAGGTCACATAACAGAGCAGGGTCAGCGGTCAGGTGTCAGGGAGGCAGGGCTGACCTTTCCTCAGGTTCCTCTTCATCTTCTTGATGAGGTCTTTGTCATCCGTGGACCCGTCCTCGTACGGCCTCTTCAGCCCTGAGCCCTCCTTGTCTGACCAGGGGTACTTCTGGGAGGGTTTACTAGAGGGGAGAGGGTCCATCTCCAGCACCTTGTAGATGTGACTGAACGCCATCAGTCTCAGAGCATGCTGGAACAGAGAGACACAGCAGATCGGTGAGGAGAGAAAGAAACCAAGACACAACAGACAGCGGAGGAAAAGAGGAGTGGAAGAGACAGAAGGACTGACAGACAGGTGTGGATGGAAAGAGACAGACAGGACAGATGCAAACAGAAAGAGACAACTAACAAAGCACACAGACAGGTGAGGAATGAAAGTGACAGATACACAGACAGGCATGGAGTCTGGTCTAGTGGTAGAGCTGCCGACTCCGGATCACACATTCCCCCCTGGTGATGGGGGTTTGAGCCTTGTCTCTGCTAATCTGTCTAAGCCCCTCTACAGCCTCATGATTAACAAAGAGAGGAGAGAAACATACATACACAGACAGACAGAAACAGTGAGAGAAACAACTAACAAAACAAACAGATCTAATCTCTGTGGTTCATTGATACCATTTACAGAAATCAAATGATTTTACTTTTGTTTGTTTTTATGTACAATAGCCTATTCAGCAACAACTTCCATCGCACTCACCCAATAGTCACTGCCGTTACTTAGCAACAGTGGCTCCAGTACTAACCCCAGGTAAACAATACAAGCAGATGATTTGAGCTGCACTTCTCTTTGGCTGAGTTGAGTGGTATAGAGAAGGCACTGGGCCATGGATCACTATGTACAGTATGACTATGTATGGAGGGAGACAGGCCTATATTGTGATTGGCAGTTTGGCACCAACTGTCCCTCACTGAGAGAAATTAAATGAGAAGCAGCACTAGCTTTCCTACATTAAAATATTTCCTACGTTAAAACGCACACACGCACACACAAAAACAGTATGAGCCATCTCACTCCAGTATCCCTGCACACTGAAATCAAAAATCAAATCAAATCAAATTGTATTTGTCACAAGCGCCGAATACAACAGGTGTAGACCTTACCGTGGAATGCTTATTTACAAGCACTTAACTAACAATGCAGTTTTAAGGAAATAGAGTTAAGAAAATATATACTAAATTAATAATAATAAGTTACAGAATAAAATAACAATAACAAGGCTATATACAGTGCTTTGCAAAAGTATTCATCCCCCTTGGCGTTTTTCCTATTTTGTTGCATTACAACCTGTAATTTAAATTGATTTTTATTTGGATTTCATGTAATGGACATACATAAAATAGTCCAAATTGGTGAAGTGAAATTTTAAAAATAACATGTTTCAAAAAATGCAAAAAAATAAATAACGGAAAAGAGGTGCGTGCATATGTATTCACCCCCTTTGCTATGAAGCCCCTAAATAAGATCTGGTGCAACCAATTACCTTCAGAAGTCACATAATTAGTTAAATAAAGTCCACCTGTGTGCAATCTAAGTGTCACATGATCTCAGTATATATACACCTGTTCTGAAAGGCCCCAGAGTCTGCAACACCACTAAGCAAGGGGCACCACCAAGCAAGCGGCACCATGAAGACCAAGGAGCTCTCCAAACAGGTCAGGGACAAAGTTGTGGAGAAGTACAGATCAGGGTTGGGTTATAAAAAAATATCTGAAACTTTGAACATCCCACGGAGCACCATTAAATCCATTATAAAAAAATTGAAAGAATGTGGCACCACAACAAACCTGCCAAGAGAAGGCCGCCCACCAAAACTCATGGACCAGGCAAGGAGGGCATTAATCAGAGAGGCAACAAAGAGACCAAAGATAACCCTGATGGAGCTGCAAACCTCCACAGCGGAGATTGGAGTATCTGTCCATAGAACCACTTTAAGCCGTACACTCCACAGAGCTGGGCTTTACGGAAGAGTGGCCAGAAACAAGCCATTGCTTAAAGAAAAAAATAAGCAAACACATTTGGTGTTCGCCAAAAGGCATGTGGGAGACTCCCCAAACATATGGAAGAAGGTACTCTGGTCAGATGAGACTAAAATTGAGCTTTTTGGCCATCAAGGAAAACGCTTTGTCTGGCGCAAACCCAACACCTCTCATCACCCCGAGAACACCATCCCCACAGTGAAGCATGGTGGTGGCAGCATCATGCTGTGGGGATGTTTTTCATCGGCAGGGACTGGGAAACTGGTCAGAATTGAAGGAATGATGGATGGCGCTAAATACAGGGAAATTCTTGAGGGAAACCTGTTTCAGTCTTCCAGAGATTTGAGACTGGGACGGAGGTTCACCTTCCAGCAGGACAATGACCCTAAGCATACTGCTAAAGCAACACTTGAGTGGTTTAAGGGGAAACATTTAAACGTCTTGGAATGGCCTGTATGACTTAAAGATTGCTGTACACCAGCGGAACCCATCCAACTTGAAGGAGCTGGAGCAGTTTTGCCTTGAAGAATGGGCAAAAATCCCAGAGGCTAGATGTGCCAAGCTTATACAGATATACCCCAAGAGACTTGCAACTGTAATTGCTGCAAAAGGTGGCTCTACAAAGTATTGACTTTGGGGGGGGGGGGGGGGGGGGGGGGGGGGTGAATAGTTGTGCACGCTCAAGTTGTGTTTTTTTGTCTTATTTCTTGTTTGTTTCACAATAAAATATATTTTGCATCTTCAAAGTGGTAGGCATGTTGTGTAAATCAAATGATACAAACCCCCCAAAAATCAATTTTAATTCCAGGATGTAAGGCAACAAAATAGGAAATGCAAATAGTCCGGGTGGCCATTTGATTAATTGTTCAGCAGTCTTATGGCTTGGGGGTAGAAGCTGTTAAGGAGCCTTTTGGACCTCTCCGGTACCGCTTGCCATGAGGTAGCAGAGAGAACAGTCTATGACTTGGTTGACTGGAGTCTTTGACAATTTTTTGGGCCTTCCTCTGACACCGCCTAGTATATAGGTCCTGGACGGCAGGAAGCTTGGCCCCAGTGAGGTACTGGGCTGTACGCACTACCCTCTTGAGCACCTTACGGTCGAATGCCGAGCAGTTGCCATACCAGGCGGTGATGCAACCGGTCAGGATGCTCTCAATGGTGCAGCTGTAGAACTTTGGGGACCCATGCCAAATCTTTTCAGTCTCCTGAGGGGGAAAAGGCATTGTTGTGCCCTCCTCACAACTGTCTTGGTGTGTTTGGACCATGATAGTTTGTTGGTGATGTGGACACCAAGGAACTTGAAACTCTCGACCGCTGCACTACAGCCCTGTTCACCACACTGCCAGGTCTCTGACCTCCACCCTATAGGCTGTCTCATCGTTGTCGGGGATCAGGCCTACCACCGTTGTGTCATCAGAAAACGTAATGATGGTTTTGGAGTCGTGCTTGGCCACGCAGTCGTGGGTGAACAGGGAGTACAGGAGGGGACTAAGCACGCACCCCTGTGGGCTATAAATATTGTATTGGCACTGACCCTGGCACTGACCCTGTATATAGCTCACTTACTTTCTTGTGTTCTTCTTATTTCTATTGCTTGTGTGTTTTTGTTCTACTTTTTATTTGTATATTTAGTACTACTGATATTGATTACTGTATTGTTGGGAAGGAGCTTGCAAGAAAGGTATTTCACTGTACTTGTGCATCTGACAATAACACTTGAAACTTGAGCTCCAGAGTCAATTTCCTAATGCAAATATATCAGAGGCGCTAAGGAAACACTCAGATATTCATATGCAGCGTTGCTTTACCTCATTCCCAGAGCCGCTCTCTATCCTATCTCTCTCCTATCTAACCATGTATCTACTACAATACAATTAGCCACATTGACATTCCATTGCCGTTTCACCTTCCTACAAAGGAGAGGGCAGGAAGATCCACTCAGACATGCAGCTCACTCCCTCTCTATTCCTAACCCGGCTTAGTGGAGCACACACACACACGCCAGGGTTTCTGTTAGCCGGTAATAGCTGGCTTTTTGCCTATTAATTGATTGAAAAACCAGTACATGTAAATACATTTGACCCGTCATATTTATCGGTCTATAGGATGCTTTGCATAGGCCTAATGTAGTGGAATTGAATTGGCGCGTGTATTTTCGTTAGTTGTTAGTTGTTATGTATCTTATTTATCACATGTGCACGGCATACAGATACTAGTTTCAGCAGAAAATCTGTCAGACAGCGTGAGAGCTGTGCTACAGCTCCTCAAACAAAATGTTTGTTGCTGCTGCGCAACAATTCTAAATGCAATCGTGTGTTAAAAACTGTTTTAATGGCCACGATTAAAAATAGCTACTATTTTTATTTCTCAACTGGTAGCCTATTGCTGCGCTTATAATGTGAAGAAATAATAGTTGATCAACATTTTAAGCTAAACGTTCTGATCTGTTGCATCAGACTCATTGCTTTTTAAAGTTATTTGATGTAGCCTAGGCCTACTGGTTGTATGAATTTGGGATCTATCGTCCCACAACTGTCCCAGAGTCTGTTTAGAATAGGCTATTTCTTTATCGATAAGCTGACCAATATAATAGGTAGCCTAAACTTTTCTATTATAGTAGATTGACATAGGCTAGTGATTTTGCTGTTCGTTGCTCGTCTTGTTGGCTGAGGAAAAGTACATGTGCAAATTGGAATTCGATAAGAAGCACGCACGCCATTGCATCCTCGAGTTGCAAGACTCACAGCTGTAATCGCTGCCAAAGGTGCTTCTACAAAGTATTGACTCAGGGGTGTGAATACTTATATAAATTAGATATTTCTGTATATCATTTTCTAAAAACATGTTTTCACTTTGTCATTATGGGGTATTGTGTGTAGATGGGTGAGAGAAAAACATCAATTTAATCCATTTTGAATTCAGGCTGTAACACAACAAAATGTGGAATAAGTCAAGGGGTTCCAACAACGAGCTGCAATTTCTGAATAATTGCGTTTAGTCTATTTTCCGCTTAGGCTAATTTGCAAACTGCTAGTGCCATTTAGAATTGGTTAGCCTAGACTATAACCCCCCAAACTGAAAATACACAAAAACATTAGTTTGATAAAGAGAAAATGCATATTTTCATCAGAATCATTAAGCATAGGCTTACTCACCAAACAGATGGTATGGCCGTAATTCATCACCATGCAGTGTTCAATTTGGAATTGTTAATACATTTAGAAAAATGTTAAAAAACGGTAGAATAAACTAAATCAAACGTCTGTATATCGAAAAGAAAACAGATTTTGGTTTGTAACGCAGATTTTTTTTCTTCTTTCAACTTGCCAAATTGAGCCCCGTTTGAAATGATCACTCTTTGAGAATAACTGTTCCAGACTTGAGATGTGCATCACTTTGCACTGGCAACTTTTTTCATTTGGAAAAATATTCAGTTCTATTTTATTCTGTTATATTACGATATGCTTTTTTAAAACTATTAAATAGGTGTCTTGACAGTGATAAGGGCTCGGTAAATAAGAGTGTCTTGTCTGCTGAACAAAAATATAAACGCAACATGCAAATATTTCAATGATTACAGTTCATCTAAGGAAAGCAGTCAATTTAAATAAATAAATGAGGCCCTAATCTATGGATTTCACATGACTGGGAAGGGGCGCAGCCAATCAGAATTCGTTTTTACAGAGGTGTACAGAGGCAGGATTCATGGGTTGCCATGGCAGTGGTTTCCCACGCTTATCATCAAGGTAAAGCTCCTGGGTGGGGGGCCGAGGTGTTGGATTGATGAGGTGTGTGTGTGTGTGTGTGTGTGTGTGTGTGTGTGTGTGTGTGTGTGGTATATAACAGTGATGTTCTATCCCCCTCTCCACACAGCTCAGAGCCCAGATAAGTGCAGAGAAGAGCATCTTAAAGAGGGTTTCCCCTGTCTGACAGGAGTGTAATCTCCAGGCTACAGATGAGATAAGACTGGCTGGAGCCCCCGGCTGATCTCAACACTAAACACTCACACCATGGACAGTATCGAGTTCTGCTCTGAGACTACCCAGTACTAATGTTCCCTCTAAGCTGCCACGCTGAAGAAATATCAGCCTGCGCAGAGAAGCACGAGATTGAACTTTCTAGAGTTTTCCCATTTTATGTTTTTGAATAATAAAAGTTCTAAATTTGCTTTATGAGTAGTGCGTGGCCCTAAGGTGGCGACACATACATTCTAAGTGATTTCAATGGGTATTTCTCCATTCTGATTGTTTTATACTGTTCAATTCAACTTCAACCAATATTTTAATTTTCAGGATTTTCATCCATTTCTGCATTTCCTGCACTCATTTGAGATAATTTCCACACTGCCACGTAGGGCTGCACGATGTAGGCTAACAATCTAGGCCATTTTTATAACCAAATGTTGCAATTGCGATTTGACTTGCGATTTAGAGCAAAACACTTGGCTGAACTGTTGGAATCATGGAAACAGAACGATTATTCTAATTCTATAGTTAGAAGATAATAGTGGGCACTTCGAATACAGTGTTGTTTGACATGACAACGAATGAAAATGCCAGGGAGGAGTTATTGTGATAGGATAGGAACTAAATTGTTGACAAGTGTTTCCTAGGGGACCCTATCATCTTTGGCTACATTTAATGTTTTCTCTTAGCTACTTCACGTAGCTAACATATTCTTGCTTCGCGTATTCCTCTTTGATTTAGAAGATACTGTTGCATAAACAACATGCTGATTTAGGTCTACACCATCACTGGTAATATCAGGCTGTCTGGCACTGACTCAGTACATTTATTAGCTAGCTAGCAATTAGTATTAGCGGCTAACAAGATTTAGGCCCAACTTGCTAAGAAAATAAAACTAGCTGTTTGCAGATGTAAGAAACACAAACTAATAGTGTAATTATAGAACGCTAGTGGATTCATATTAAGAAGTCAAGTGAAAACAGTATCGTTGTCATCAACATTGTTGCATGCGCTGCATTGACCATGCAGACTGAATGCAAGTGTAGGGGTCGAGGAACAACAAATGTGCTCCTTGAGTGACAGGAGGCGGGGCTAGGTCTGTGTGGAAAGCGGCATGGAGAGAGAGCTGAGAGAGATGACTGAAGTAGCTAAGTAAACTATAAAAATGGACGTTACACACAGCGTATCACATTTAACAAACCAAACATTTAAATACCATTATAGAAGGTAAAGTAAAAACCCAAACCAGTCGTGCATCAATACCGGTATATCGTAAAGTACGCTATACCGCCCAGCCATACATTGGAGTAGGATTCTATTGCATTGACATGTAAGACTCAGTCCGTACTCTACGCAGACTGGTGCGGCATAACCAATCAGTGCTGCAGTAGGCCTATATGCAAATAGACCATTGACATATATGGATATGTGCCATTCACTTTGAACTTGATTGTGTTTACAGTATGAGCAACTGTAAGTAGATGTTTTGAGATCAAAGCAAGAGCTGCATGAAGCCAAGTGTGCACATTTGATAATATCCTTTGCTAGTTAGTGAGTTATTATCCCAGTTATAGATCATTTGTAGTCAGCAATGGGGGAGTGACTGCTACAAGAGCACAAAACATGTACATTTCTAGACATCTTTGAAATGTGAGTTGGTTAAAGAGCTTTTTTTTGTCTTAAAGGGGCAGTGTTGTATTTTGAGACGGTCTTGAATAAGCTAAGTAGCCAATAGGCAGAGGGTAGCATAATATGTCTGATTCTCTGTAACTTAAAGTGGGTACAGCCTCAATGTTCACAGTAAACGTGCGCTGGATGTTGCACAGAATTTTCACAATGTTCAAGTTTGCACTCAGCAGACCTGAAATCTGCTCAGTGCCGGGAATAAAATTGAGGGAACATTGCCCAGAACTGCTACCTGAAAATACCAAAAACTGTCTGGGTTCAAACCTGGGTCCCACGCAAGCCACAAGACATGGTTACCCCTCTGAGCCAAAGAGCCTAGGCATTAGCATGGGGAGCTTAGGCAAGGTTCACCGAACCACTTCCGTTCCACAGGTATGAGGTGAGGTTTTACCTGTGCGCTGTAGGTGATGGCCTCTGCCTCCTCGTCTGTCATGGCCGTTAGGGTGTTGGTCAGCTCCTTCTCACATGGGTCGTGTAACCCTGGTCCTCCTGGGGATCGCAAGTAGACAAGGAAATCTTAATTTCATTCAACCTTTTTTCAACCTGCTCCCCCAGGTTAACTAAATGAGCCTCTGATTCCTACATCATTCAATACTAATGAGTTATGACTTCATCAAATTATTTGAAAGTAATAACAGGTTTGTTTTTTCCCATGTCAGTTTGTAACAGGGAAAGTGAAAGGCAGAAAGAGAGAGAGACAGAGACAAAGAGAGACAGGTATGTACTGTACCTGGAAGGAGGATTCCTGAGGCGAGACACTCCATGACCCTACGGAGGGCCTCCCCTGCACCCAGCGGCCGGTTACACGTGGCTATGGCCTTCTCACAGATCAGCTCCAGGGGCTGGGGGAGATACCAAGACCAAGATAAAGCAAGGACAGCGAGATCAGTTCAGCTGTTAGTGGCACACAAACCAGTATATGTTTGGTCTGAAACACCAGTATATGTTTGGTCTGAGACACTAGTATACAATACAAGTCAAAAGTTTGGACTCACCTACTCATGCAAGGGTTTTTCTTTATTTTTTACTATTTTCTACATTGTAGAATAATAGTGAAGACATCAAAACTATGAAATAACACATATGGAGTCATGTAGTAATCAAAAAAGTGTTAAACAAATCAAGATATATTTTATATTTGAGATTCTTCAAATAGCCACCCTTTGCCTTGATGACAGCTTTGCACATTGCTCATTCTCTCAACCTGGAATGCTTTTCCAACAGTCTTGAAGGAGTTCCCACATATGCTGATCACTTGTTGGCTGCTTTTCCTTCACTATGCCATCCGACTCATCCCAAACCATCTCAATTGGGTTGAGGTCGGGGGATTGTGGAGGCCAGATCATCTGATGCAGCACTCCATCACTCTCCTTCTTGGTAAAATAGCCCTTACACAGCCTGGAGGTGTGTTGGGTCATTGTCCTGTTGAAAAACAAATGATAGTCCAAACCAGATAGGATGGCGTATCGCTGCAGAATGCTGTGGTAGCCATGCTGGTTAAGTGTGCCTTGAATTCTAAATAAATCACAGACAGTGTCACCAGCAAAGCACCCCCACACCATAACACCTCCTCCTCCATGCTTTACGGTGGGAAATACACATGCAGAGTTATCCGTTCACACACACCACGTCTCCCAAAAATCTCACATTTGGACAAAGGACACATTTCCACCGGTCTATTGTCCATTGCTCGTGTTTTTTGGCCCAAGCAGGTCTCTTCTTATTATTGGTGTCCTTTAGCAGTGATTTCTTTGCAGCAATTCGACCATGAAGGCCTGATTCACACAGTCCCCTCCGAACAGTTGAGGTTGAGATGTGTCTGTTACTTGAACTCTGCGAAGCATTTATTTGGGCTGCAATTTCTGAGGCTGGTAACTCTATTGAGCTTATCCTCTGCAGCAGAGGTAAATATGGGTCTTCCATTCCTGTGGTGGTTCTCATGAGAGCCAGTTTCATCATACCGCTTGATGGTTTTTGCGACTGCACTTGAAGAAACTTCTTGAAATGTTCCGTATTGACTGACCGTCTTTGACTGATGTCTTAAAGTAATGATGGACTGTCGTTTCTCTTTGCTTATTTGAGCTGTTCTTGCCATAATATGGACTTGGTCTTTTACCAAATAGGGCTATCTTCTGTATACCACCCCTACCTTGTCACAACACAACTGATTGGCTCAAACGCATTAAGAAGAAAATAAATTCCACAAATTAACTTTTAAGAAGGCACACCTGTTAATTGAAATGCATTCCAGGTGACTACCTCATGAAGCTGGTTGAGATAATGCCAAGAGTGTGCAAAGCTGTCATCAAGGCAAAGGGTGGCTATTTGAAGAATTTCAAATATAAAATATATTTTGATTTGTTTAACACTTTTTTGGTTACTACATGATTCCATATGTGTTATTTCATAGTTTTTATGTCTTCCCTATTATTCTACAATGTAAAAAATAAAGAAAAACCCTTGAATGAGTAGGTGTGTCCAAACATTTGACTGGTAGTGTATGTTTGGTCTGAGACACCAGTATATGTTTGGTCTGAGACACCAGTATATGTTTGGTCTGAGACACCAGTATATGTTTGGTCTGAGACACCAGTATATGTTTGGTCTGAGATACCAGTATATGTTTAGTCTGAGATACACATTACATTGTTTGTGGAGTATTCAACAATACTAGTATGCTGGAGTTTCTTATTTTTCTAATACAATGCCTTTTCACGGGGCGACTGGAAATAAGCTAAGTGAGCGAACTACAGTACAGACAGACAGACAGAGACAGACAGACTTACCCATCCTTTCAGCGGCTCCCAGGCTGGTAATCTATTGCACATGTCTCTCAGGATCCTGAGGATGATGACACACGACTTCAACCCGTTTACTCTGGCCTGGAGTCGGAGAAGAGAGGGAAGGTAACACTGATGCTTACACACACTACCAGAGGAGTGCAATAGACCCACATTCATATTTAGCTAGCGCAAGATTTGATTTGGCTTAGAATAATGCTGTACAGACTGTCACTAGAGAAGTGGTTGAATTATAAACTTGAGGAATATTAGTTCTAGTCTGCAAATAAAGGTTTGGTTGAGAGAGGAGAAAAAAGGTTGAAGGAAGCATATGACAGTCAGGCAGGTTTCGAAAAAGCCAAAAGAAACAAAAGTGTAACAATTGCTTTTGTAGCCTCATATCTCTCTGCATGTAGGCTATTATACTACACAGAGCATGATTGAGCGATTCAATGAATGAGTCATTTTTGTATGAGATATTTTATTTATTTTTTATTATAGTTTGCAGATAGCTGCCATTTCAAATAAATTATGTATTTTGATTAATTTATTTGATTCATTCATTCATTAATTTTCAAGTGATCATAAGGCTACAATAACAATGGAGAGGTTAAGTAGAACTGAGAGCCAACCTGGAACCATTTGGCATGTCGCAGAGCCGCCAGGGCCACCAGGCATCTGTGCCTGTCCAGCATGTCTGCAGGGTCTGTCAGCTCAACACCCTCCACTGGTGAAATAAGAATGGGATATATATATATATATAACATAAAGTAGAACACACACACAAGTGTGTGTTTGAGATCGACTGTATTGCAGTCGACTACTGACCGACTACTGACTCTTCGACTGACCACTCATTGTAGAACAGTCAGTCTGCGGTCACCGACTGCGATATAGTCGATCCCGAAGACGCCCAGACACATACATTCCTAATCCCAAATCGAACCATAGCCCATACCTCCAAGACGTATGATCTAGGAGGATTGGAGAGGTGTAGGTAAGTGTACGTTTTCAGCATATTGCTTACATCTCTGCAATCTTCTCAGATCAAGCGAAGTGCCTAGGGTGTAGGGGCTAGGGGTCCATTTGTAATTGGGCAACACACACGACAGAGGGACACACACGTTGACCAAGGCAAAGTTCTGTCAGAGCACAGCGAATGATTGGCTGAGGATGAGCATCCTGATGATCTGATTGGCTGTGTCAGATTAACAGAGATTAATGGGATTGTGGTGTAGTTGCATGAGAAGAGCTGTTCAGTTAGTTAGAACCTCCATTCCTTCTAAAGTATCTTAGAAGAGCCATCCACATTTCCAGAACAAAGTAAGATAAATATTCTCAATAATTTTCATATAATTAAAAAAATATATCCTGTTCACTGCCACCCATATTTCCAGGACATCTATTTATATGATCAGACAAAATGTGTCTGGGACACCAGGCAAGGCTAGGGTTATTATGATAAGTCAAAAGCACTTGTTATTTCAGAATAATCTCATTACAACGAGCATTAGTAAATTCCACTCCATTCCTCTCCATGCACTCAAGCAGCAGGTCCGCAACAGGAATCTTTATGTGTGTGTGTGTCTGTGTGTCTGTGCTCAGATGCATCTGGAGTGGATTATTACAATGCCTCCACAAAGCAGAGAGCAGGGGAAATAGTCGCAGCGCTCTCTGTACTCAATGTTCCAGAGAAACTGGCCCATAGCTTGATGAGTGCAGAAAAGAGAAAAACAGACCTAAAACTATATTCTAATCATAATATCTGCAGCATTTGTCCTGCTACTTTATCATACAGCAGGCCCAGGTATTGTACCAGCTTCAGTACACTGAGTATGGAGCAAGGAAAAACAGGGCGACTCGTATGGATTAATAAAGTAGCCTACCATTTTTCTAGACCATACTGGTTATCTCTCCTGCCATTCCACTGTTCAACACCCCCAGCTATGTAGCTACTGCACCAGCTCCTCTACCCTCTGTGTGGAGTGAGAGGACAATAGTTTATCATCGCTACATGGGGCCACTCAAGGCTTTACACAGGTTAATTTCACTCACTCCAATCTTCTCCTTCCCTCTCTCCCGATCTCTCTCTCTCTCTAACCCTCTCTCCTCCGTTCTCTCTCTCTCATCATCTCTCCTCAGCCAGACCACTCTACTCAGCTACACACCGAGCTCTTGTTGAGGTTATGAATGGCTCTTTGAAATGGATTTCAGTGCTCCAACCAACACTTACAAATACAGGTTTATCCAACAGAAAGCGTTAACTTGTCGTCTTGAGACAAATTCAAGGTTTGTTTTGCCATATCTAAATCTGGTTGAAAATAAATCACTACCCTCCTTCACATGAATGATTGATTATGAATTACATTACGGAACAATTGTGAAATCTATACATTGATCTGAACACATCAAATAAGAGAGCAGTAGTATAATTGATCATTCCATTAAGGATGAAAAAAGCTGTGTCAGAAAGGGCACTTATTGAAACTTGACATTGTTACATTCTGCACCGTAATAAGTTCGATAAACATTGCCTAATAGCATATATAAAGCATTGCCTATCGATCTTAATAGAATATATACAGCAGCAGTGCATATCTATCTATTGCAATGGAGTGGCTCTCAATGCAGCTTGCCATCCAGAAGGGATATTAGATATCCAGAGGGCAATATTAGACTTTTGAAATGGTCACGTTCTTTTAGCTGAGTACAGACAGCACTGGGACTGATGGTGGGTTCATACAAATGACCATCCAGGCAAGGCACAGCGGGTGATATTACACTCTTAGATCTATGTCGAACGAAGGTCTGCTGAGACCAAAACATCACACTTTGTTTAATCTTTATATATATATATTTTTTAATTATAATGGAGAGAGTGTCGTGCCTCATCTTCTAATCAACGGTACTAGACTCTGGAGCTGGCCATGTTCTTTAAGCTATGTACAGACTGTGTACAGACACACTACAGACAGAGTATAGACACACTGTTTACAGACAGCCACCCAGACTGATGCAGCCTGGGTTCATACCAATTGCTGTGATGAGTTCCTGTTGCCAATGAGTTGCTGTGTGATACTGAGCCGTTCCTCACTGCGACAGGGCCCTTGACCCGCCCCTCGCTCGCTGGAAATACGACGGGTACGGGGGGGATAGTTCCCCTTGATCTACAGCCGCCCCCGTGTCATCTCTCATCTCTCACTCAGACCTTACTGTCGAGCAGGATAGACCAGCACCACGATGGATGGGTGCGTTCCTGGCTCCGCTATTGATTTGTCGGGTCTAGATTTCTCCCTCTCCCTCGCTGTCTGAGTATGGAGCCCTGGTCAAAAGTAGTGCACTATATAGGGAATAGGGTGCTATTTGGGATGCAACCCCTACCTCACGCCCATCTCCTCTTCCCAATTACAAACACACCACACTCCCCTCCAGTAGGCTACCACAGACAGAGGAGGATAGATAGGACAGTAACTGCTGCCATTTTATAACCCTTTTGAGGGATGTTATTTAGCAATGGTTCGGCACTCACAACATCACTTTACAGTGGACAGCTTGTTGTCTCAAAGTGAGAAACAACCCGAGTATGTGAAATAGTACAAGAGATGAAGGAGGAGTGAGAGAGATGGAGACTGTGATGGTGAAAAAGAAAGAAAGGAATGTGGTGGTTGGGTGTCGATCAGGTCCGTGTTAGTAAGACAGAGGACAAAGATGAAGTTGAAGTACTCAAGTTCACACTGGTCTTTTCTGTATGGTTTCTTTGGTCTCACGCGAACCTCATCTTACTTAGTCATGGTTAGTGAGGGCCCAGGGAGACGGAGAAGATAGACAGATAAACAGAGAGGGGGAGATGATAGACAGAGAGGGGGAGATGATAGACAGAGAGGGGGAGATGATAGACAGAGAGGGGGAGATGATAGACAGAGAGGGGGAGATGATAGACAGAGAGGGGGAGATGATAGACAGAGAGGGTTAGAATGAGGAGCGGAAAGATAGACAGTGGTGTGAAAAAATGTATGCGCTCACTAACTGTAAGTCGCTCTGGATAAGAGCGTCTGCTAAATGACTAAAATGTACATGTAAAAATGTGTCTTATCTGCAGAGAGAACGTGTATTCTAGGGTGGGGCTATGACTCTGCCTTGTCCTGGCCCCCTCCTTCTCCCAGCCCTGTGGCTGTTTGTTTAGCCAAGAGAGGCCCATGGGTCAAATGTGTAGTCTTGGTGTTGACCATGATACATGCTACAGGGCTGCTGAGGCAGCATAGTAGGGTGAAGAATCACTATGACCGCAACTAAACATTTACCACTATTCTTCTGGCTTTCAGGAAAACACGTCAATACAGATTTGAGACTACATGAGCCTTGAGCCTAATATTGCCCAGACTGCTGGATAAATGACGTTATGTTACAGAGTGGTGTGTGTGTACGTGCACACTATGTGCAAGGTTTGATAAAGAGGTAGTGTAGAGGGAATATGGCGTCTTGTCTTATGCATGTATTGTCTCCCCAAGCCAGGAGGATTGGAATACGGGCGTAGCTTGGGAGAGGGCCATAGAACATGGATATATTTTCTGATCAAAGCTTACTGTGTCCCAGTGTAGTGCTGCTAACAACACTAGTGCTGCTGCTCTCTGCAGTAGCATAAATCATACACACACACACGTGCGCACAAACATGCGTATGCAAACCTACACACCTCAATACCTCCCCCTCTATATCCCTCTTCCATGCAAAGACACTCTTTTCATTTCCCCCCTAATCCGTAGGAGAAAAAAGACAATAGACAAACATAAACACAAAAACAGTAGCGACACAGACGTGAGTGTGTTACCTTGTTCGTCCGTGTCGCTGTCCTCTCTCATCTGTGGGGAGGTGAGGGTGACCTTCAGGGTGAGTTTTGGCTCCGTCGTACTACACACCAAGATGGCCGCCTCTGGTACACAGCGCTGCACCTCGTACTTCTCCTCGGTTAACTTCTGTTAGGGGTCAGAGATCAATAACAGCAGGCGTTAGAGGTCAAGGGTTAAAGGTCACAGCCCGGACAAACTGCAAACCCTTGGCTTGGGTCATGACAATCTCGGCTGTGAAAGCCGTTAAGAGCAAGGCCAACCACCAACAGTACATTTCACACACAGGCACTTACGCACACACACACAAACCATCAGAGACGATGCATTTACAAAGCAGATTATGAGAAGAGCTAGCGAGAGGGAGAATACAAACAAATAAAGAAAAAAGGCTCCTGATTGAAAACAACATTGTTTGATGTGGAGGCTGAAAGCTGCTTCTGTTGCTATAATCCCTTGTATTAATACCAGCCACACAATTACAATGTGCATGTCCTTTTTATGCATTCTTCCCACACACACACACACACACACACACACACAATGTGTGTGTGTCAGTCGTTTTTATTAATTATTCTCTCATACAACGGGAATCAATTACCCCTGGCCCCAGTGATCCGGCTTAAGATCAGATGATGAATTTGTGTCAGCAGCACTCAGACAGCCATACACACTGATACACACAGACACAGACACACACACACACACACTGACACACACACAAACACTGACACACACACAAAGATACATAAACCCGTGCACAGACATAAACACACACAAACACACTATCAAAGATACATAAAAAAACACACACACACACACACACACTCAAGGATACATAGCTAGTGTGTTCAGTGTGAGGCTGAGGTTGACATGGTGTGGCTGTTTAACTGTGCAGAGAGCCACACAAGACCAATCTGCATTCCATTAGGATGTGATTTAAAGCACAGGGATCTCGGGGCACTGGGATGCATGATTACCACGCATGACACTGCCTGACTGGATGCCTCTGACTGGCTATTTAACATGGAGGGGGCACGCAAGGGGCGAAAGGGAGAGGGGGCCATGGGAGAAGGGGCCATGGAAGAGGGGGAGAGAGGAGATGGGAAGGGGTTGGAGTAATAGGGCAGAACCATAAATGTCCCACAGGTTTCACACAACATTCCACTGACACATGGGAAAACATCCAAAAATGTAGCTTTGATATGGCTATGGATACGAGCATGTGTTAAAATGGAAATGTAGGCCTCAATGTGATGTGGTCCTCTGTAGCTCAGCTGGTAGAGCACGGTGCTTGTAACGCTGAGGTAGTGGGTTCGATCCCCGGGACCACCCATACACAAAAATGTATGCACGCATGACTGTAAGTCGCTTTGGATAAAAGCGTCTGCTAAATGGCATATTATTATTATTATTAAATCAAGGCCAAGAAAATGCTGAAATGGGTGTACTGTGAACTCTATACCAAGCTATATGAGACCATATGTTGAGGAGAAACAGGTATGCTTGGGATTAGGAAGTATACAGTGGCAGTTCCTATAAGTATACCTGTTTATGTAGCTAAGGTTAACCTTGACTACATGTATGCTCACGCAAGCATGTGTTTGTGTTTTCGCCAGACAACGTGACCGGGAAGATTTTAATTGACCATCCATTTGACAAATGTACCGGACCCATTTGCATTGGGTGCGTAACCCATTAGGGTGTCCACCCACGGTGCTCAGAATGACAGAAATCACATTTAGATGATGGTAATTCATCTTAACAGAACATGCAACTCCTGTAATACACTTGAATGGTGAATGGGTGAGGCGCTTCAATTACCAGTTGAGAAATAAAAAGAGTAGCTCTTTTTAACTGTGGTCACAAAAAAATCTAAAAACACTTGATTGCATTTACAATTGTTGCGCAATGACTGCGCTTATAAAAGCACGTTTCACTCCAGCTGCAACAAGCTGTTAGAGGAGCTGAAGCAGCAACTCTAGCGCTGTCTGACAAGTGATACTCCGCTCAAAATAGGTTCTGTACGCTGTGCGCATGTGATACATGACGACTAATGAAAATACACAGACCCTAATTTCATTCCACTACATTTAGCAAATTCATCTATAGACCGATAAGCATGACGGCCAAATGTATTTACATCGACTGATATTTCCATGAATTAATAAAAAGCATTCTTTTGCAAAAGGAATGTTTTTACTCCCGGTCAATTTGGCCGGCAACAATTGTCGGCTTTTCATTAATTTTTTTGGGGCCAAAAGCCCTAACGGAAACCCTGGTGTTTGTGTGTACTGCGTGCATGCGTCTCTCTCATATCTCTTACTTGTATCTGCAGGGGCAGGTTATCACATACAGTGCACAGCAGTGTCTCTGTGGGTTTATCTCTACACATCAGCACCAGCTCCAGGTCCATGTCCTCTTTGATGAGCAGACCTTTAGCCACCAGGCCGATCCTCATCACCCCACACAGCACACCTCCACTGGGCTCCCTGAAGATAACAGGCAGCTGGGTTACACTCAAAACATTGAATTGGTTAACTAACCAACTAACTGACTAACTTACTGAACTACATCAACTGTACTACTACTTAAGTTATTGGAGAAAACAGATAAATATCAAGTCGTCAATAGAATTCCATAACATCAAGAGTCAGAATTTCTCAATACCTGAAAAAAGAAAAGAACCAATACACATTCCTGTCTACCTGGCAGACACGCAACACAGCACCATAGGCCTATATCCCAGCATGCATCAGTTAGAACCAAAACCCCACCTGCTGCTAATGTCTGTGCAGTCATCTGGGCTGGCGCTGGGACTAACGTTGGGGTCATCGTTAAGGTCGTCGTCATGGTCAGCACTACCGTCCTCTGTCATTGTGCTGTCTGTGGGGTTCGGCTGGCCGTCTGTCTGGCCGGCTGCTGCGTCTGCCTGGCTGTTACTCTGCACTGATTGGACATTGCTCTGGTCTATCCAATCAGAGACGTGTTTGAGGGCACCCTCCACAGTGGACACCAGGGTCTGGACCGCCTCCAGTTCAGACGAAGATGGGTAGATGGTGGAGTGTTTGGCCATGACGTGACGGTCATCATTACCGAATGAACGGAAGGACCTCTGTAGGGAGTGGGGGAAAGAGAAGAGGTAAAGAAAGAAAGAAAGAAAGAAAGAAAGAAAGAAAGAAAGAAAGAAAGAAAGAAAGAAAGAAAGAAAGAAAGAAAGAAAGAAAGAAAGAAAGAAAGAAAGAAAGAAAGAAAGAAAGAAAGAAAGAAAGAAAGAAGAAAGAAAGAGCGAGAGAGAGAGAGAAAGAGAGAGGAGGGAGGAAGGAGAGGGAGTTAGAAACACAATGAACAGAGAACCCTCACACACCCACACCCAACAAACACAATACACAAATCTATAGGGCACACACTCACTCCCATACACACACACCCCTCTCTATTTCCAAACTATTTCTCTATTTTCTATTTCTTGCAAACACAGCCGTCTCGTTAGTAGTTCCAAGGCCACCTCTGGAGAAAAGCATTCAGCAGCATATTAAACTTTAATCAATCAAACTCACCTCAGCTTCTACGGATGGCCAAACAAACGTCTGCCCAGGTAACATATCCTCTAACAGCCCTGTCTGCTCTGCTCTGTTCGCACCCTGCCCTGTGCTGTGCTGTGCTGTGTCCTCACCATGCCCTGTGCTGCTCTCTCTGCAACCGGCCATATAGTAGTTACATTCACATTTACATTTTAGTCATTTAGCAGACGCTCTTATCCAGAGCGACTTACAGTTAGTGAGTGCATACATTTTTCATACTGGCCCCCCGTGGGAATCGAACCCACAATCCTGGCGTTGCAAACGCCATGCTCTACCAACTGAGCTACACGGGGCCCTGTATGGAGAGGCCACCACTGGCAGCTTGAATTCCATTTGCACGCACACACACACCTCTCACCAAACCCCTGTCAAACTGAACTACCTCCTGACATAGGGCCGGGGAGGCATTAAAATGCCTGTCAGCACTTTTGATCTTTCAGTCTGTGTATCTGCGTGTGTGTGTGCGTGTCTGTGTGTGTGTGTGTGTGTGTGTGTGGTTAATGCCTTCAGAATATGAAGAGAAGTAATCAGTGATGTGTTGTGTTGGATTTGCCCCATACATAACGCTTTGTATTCAGGACACCAGCGGAACCCATCCAACTTGAAGGAGCTGGAGCAGTTTTGCCTTGAAGAAACTGGGCAAAACTCCCAGTGGCTAGATGTGCCAAGCTTATAGAGACATACCCCAAGAGACTTGCAGCTGTAATTGCTGCAAAAGGTGGCTCTAACAAAGTATTGACTTGGGGGGGGGGGGGGGTGAATAGTTATGCACGCTCAAGTTTGCTGTTTAAAAAAAAATATATATATATATATATATATATATATTTAGCATCTTCAAAGTGGTAGGCATGTTGTGTAAATCAAATGATACAAATACCCAAAAAAATCTATTTTAATTCCAGGTAAAAAATAGGACAAATGCCAAGGGTGGTGAATACTTTCGCAAGCCACTGTATACAAATACAAATACACAATAATGTCAAAGTGGAATTATGTTTTTACAAATTCATTAAAAATGTAAAAGCTGAAATGTCTTGAGTCAATAAGTATTCAACCCCTTTGTTAAATAAGTTCAGGAGTAAAAATGTGCTTAATAAGTCACATAACAAGTTGCATGTTTAACATTATTTTTTAATGACTACATCATCTCTGTACCCCACATATACAATTATCTGTAAGGTCCCTCAGTCAAGCAGTGAATTTCAAACACAGATTAAACTAGGGCTTGGGCGGTATACCGTACTTTAGTATATACCGGTATTGATGCACGGACCGGTTTGGGTTTTACTTGACCTTCTATAACGGTATTTTAATGTTTGGTTTGTTAAATGTGATATACCATGTGTTACGTAAATTTTTTATAGTTTACACCTTTACTTGAGTCATCTCTCTCCCCTCTCTCTCTCTCCATGCCGCTTTCCACACAGACTTAACCCCGCCCCCGGTCACTCAAGGAGCGCATTTGTTGTTGCTTGACCACAAGACACTTACGTTCAGTCTGCATGGTCAATGCAGCACATGCAACAGTGTTGATGACAACGATGTTGTTTCCACTTTGCTTCTTAATATAAATCCACAAGCGTCCTATAATTACACTATTAGTTTGTGTTTCTTACATCTGCAAACAGCTAGTTTTTCTTTTCTTAGCAGGTTTTAGCTAAATCGTTTTAGCCGTTAATGCTAATCGCTAGTTACCTGGCTAAAATGTCTAAAAACTAGGGCTGTCAAATGATTAAAATTTTTAATCAAATTAATCAGAATTTTCAGTGGATTAATCATGATTAATCACTATTTGCAATTACACCTGAATCCTAACCATTTTTTTTCTGAAATGCATACCAAAAGATAAATAACAGGACACAGATACATAATTTTCATATTATGTCTGTTTATTAACACAGCCAAATAATGGTGTTTTAAATCAAGCTGAAACATACTACACACCATAATATTTGTCTTTGTAATGTTCCATCACTTCCTCTTTGGCATTCCTCTTAACCAGGATGTACAATTTACAGTATTCAATTGAACAGAAAGCAATAAATGTAGTCAAATCATAACAGTGACCTACCACATTTTTGCACAATTTGAGTCATCTGTGGAAAAAAACATTTTCAATAAAACTTTTAAATCAAACCAAAGAACAATCTTTTACCTTTTCCTCCATTCTTTAATCCAGTTGCTCAAAAATCCAGTTGCTAACTACTATAACATGTTGCACTGAAACTGGTCTTTTTGTTTGAACATCACCTTTCAAATCTACTGAGCTTCATCATCTTTCAGCCAGTTGCTGAGGCAAACTAACTTGTTCACATTTTCTGAAAGTAAAGCTGACCTTTTCTTGTTCACAATGTGACCTGCAACTGAGAAAAGTCGTTCACAGGGAACAGTGGTTGCAGGAGTGGCTAGATATTTGTGAGCTAGTGAGGCCAGCTTCTCATGGGCTCCTGAATGAGATGCCCACCACCTCAAGGGGCAGTCCTCCAATTTAATGGTGGGCTCTGCTCTGTACCTCTGTATGGCAGGTTGGACCTCTTCATCTTCTGATTCTGAATCTGAGCCCATTTGCAGAAGGCTGATTTTCTTCCTGGGTGGCCCATCATCATGTGTCTGTGAAGACCTTCTGGGTGATTCTTGTTGCAGCATCCCTTCAAGTGTGGTCCACACCTCTTCCCTGTCTGTCTTGGGCAGGCATTTCAAGTCTTTGAAACGAGGATCCAAAACTGTAGCAATCTGGAGCCATGCATTGTTGAGCTGTTCTTGACGGGATGCTAGGTCCTCCTTGAACTTGGTCTTGAATCTCACCACATATGCAGGGTCCTCATCACAGGCTTCCATCTTGAGACGCAAGTGAGAGAAGGTAGTACCACAGAAGGTAGTACCACAGAACAGGAGACATAGGCCTCTCCACCCAGGAGCTCAGTTACATACCTACGCACACAAACACACACATGCACACAGAGACAGTGTATTATTAGAACAGTGGTTATCAACATATTATTATTATTATTATTATTATTATTATTATTATTATCATCATCATTATTTTTTACATAGATACATGTTATTGATATTTGACTTGGTTTAATTCATTCCAGAAAATAATCAAAGCGATGTTATTTGATAAGTTACAGACTGATTTACCTGCATGGCTCTAGAAGTGTCTCCAGCCTCTGCAGTTTATCCCACTCTGCTGCGGTCGGCAAAACGAGTTTGTGCTCCTGATTGTCCAGGGCTGCGATGACAGAATCTGACGGCCCAGCAAACGCATGTTTGGCGTTGACATGGTACTTCAAGCTTGAACAGCTCCGGTGAAATTGAAACTCCTTCTTACAAATCTTGCAAATAACCTTGTACTTGTTAACTGTACCATCATCATTCTTTTTATATTTGAATCCGTCAATAGGCCCACTTTGCTCACCTTGCTCCATCTCGCCTCTAGCTCCCAACCACTTTCCTGACCTGAATAATTTGTCACACTGCGCATGCGTGAAATGCGTTTAAAAAATTGACGTAATTAACAGCAAACAACTAATTAACGTCGTTAACGCGCTATTTTTGACAGCCCTACTAAAAACATGTTTTCACTTTGTCATTATGGAGTATAGTGTGTAGAT